CTTTTCCGTATTATCCTGTTTATATTTTTATTTGCAGAAGGTACGTTTTAAGTATATTGTGGGGGCTTATAGTATTCCTATAGTTTCGCGAACAATAAATCTTTTGATGTTTTCTAGGACAGACAATGTTATTACAGTCGAAAGAAATGTATCGTAATAACAAAGCCGAGGAAAATATATCATAATCCGGTTAGAGGCGATTGATTTTTCAATTCGAGTAATTGATTTTTGAGTCAAAGGTAAAATTAAATGAATAATTATATTTAATGTAACGTTATTTTTAAAAAAATTGCAAAAATGTATGAATAATTTGGCATCTTTTTGCTAATTTGATGAAAAATTTATCGAGCTTCATCAAACAACTTTTAAATTTTCGAAGTCAGTGCAGTCGATTTTAGAAATGAATGAGGAATGGTCAAATTTTGGCTCAGATACACATACATAGTTTTTACAATTTTGGGAAAATAACTGATTTATGTTCAAAAATTTTCCAAAATATGATAATATATAAATCAAATTATTATAATAGAAGTAGGATATGTTTTGCGTAATAATTATACAGGTTCAAGAATTTATTTTGTATCGACCATATATCAAATTCAATTATTCATAGTTACGAGATAGACACATAAAATTTGTTTTCATGTATGACGAAATCGTTTGACAAGACAGAATAAATAATTCGTATAAACCGAAATCCGTTTCGAACTTGTGAAGTCGGGAAAGCGGAAACCCTTGGAAAATCCAATATCCAACATCACTTGTACACGGTAAACATATTGAAGTCTTCACTACGGATATGCAATACTTGTAAATGCAAATTGAGCACCGAATTTAGTAGTAACTAGGCAATGAAATACTAAAAATACTTCAACAACTCTGGTCATTATAATAAAATTTCTCTATCTATATGTTGATTACAACTATTCTCTATATGTTGATTACAATTCAGTAAGATTTGGAAAATTCATGCATCGTGAGTACCAAACAAATAGGTTTGGTACCCATTGTTCCATCGATGGATAAATTTTAATATATAAAATACGTGTTTGTTATGAAATTGCTGGAACTTCCCGTGCCGTAACGAAATGTTTGAGAAATATTAAATGTTTTCAAATAGATTATTATAAATAAATACTGTAACATTGTTTAATATTTATAAGAATTATATAAACTGAATTACAAGGTTGAACATATTTGTTTAGTGTATATTAGAACTTAAGTCAAAATCACAATTAATATCAGAATTACTTTTTATATACAAAAAAAAAATATTTAAAGCTTAGTTCTCTCAAAAACTGCCATTTTTTGCACATTTAGCTCTGTATCTTCGAAACCGCTGAACCTGCCTTTGCCAAAAGCTAATCACCCCTTCTCCCCGTCATTACGAATTGAATGTTTTTTGGATCATTCCAATCGGATGCTCCGATCTCGCAAAATCTCGATATCTATCTTCTGCACTCTTTACTCCGTATCTCCGAAACGGCTGGACCTGCCTTTGCCAAAAACTAATTAGTACATCTCTCTATCAATAGGAATCGAATGTTTTTGAACCATTCAAATCGGTTGATCCGTGCGCCCGAAAGCGTGGACGAAAATTTATATCCATACATACATACACACACATATACACAAACACACACACACATCCATTTTTTCTGAGGTATGCCAAAATGTTCAGAAACCTACAAAACGTCGAGAAATGTAAAAATTTTTAATTTTGATTTTTGGACGATTACAATAACTTACCCTATGGGAAGTTAATAAATTGATATTGAAATATTTCATCCTCAAATATGCCATACGAATACAATACTGGAAAATCATATAACAATTTTGAAACACGCATCCCCTTTGTCGTTTTATCATGTTTTCATTCTTATTAACGTATGTTCAATTTTGATCTTTCGTTCTAATAAAGAATCATTTTCTCGTCTTCTGCACAATCATTTTCTAAAGGAATGAGGAAAGAGGTTCCAGTTGATTCCCAGTTCCGAGTCATAACCCTTCCGCTTCATTTCATCTTTCATTATGAGCAAATGACAAATTTTATTATCTGAAGAAATGGAATGATATGTTTTTACTTCTTGTAATTTTCGATTACTATCGAAATTGAATCGCTGGGAATTTAAAGTAGGGAACAATATCAAACATTTATTTTCGTGACATTTTGCTTTAGAGCAAGTAGCAAAAACTTTGCGATATGTGCAAATTTGAATATAATGTATTTTATAGCGTTTAAGATAATCTATAATATAAAAATGAATCGCAAAATGTGCTGGTAAGCGCATAACTCAACAACGTCTGTACTAATTTGACAATTCTTTTTTTTTATTATTCGTTGAAGTCCAAGAATTGTTCTTACGGTAAGAAAAAATCGAATAATTGCCGGGAAAACCCTAAAAACAATCCTTTTCTTTTTCACATACAAACGTTAGTATTTTCATATTTTTGCCATCGGTTTCGGAATATTTACCCAATCAATTTAGACTCCTTTGTCATTTCCCGGGGGATGACATGCCTCTCAGTGGTGTAATTTCATTTTTTTTATTCAAAATAACGTCGGATGTCGATAAAAGAACTAATTATAAGAAAAAAATGTTTTATAATGTTTTTCAAAAAAGCTAATACTCATCATGTTATTCAAAGCAGTTGTACTTTTAAGATCCATATGGGTGGATGTATATACATTTCGGTATAGACTGTAGTGTGAAAAACATAATAATTTTTAACTAATTGGTGAATATCAGTATAGGTTATTAAAACAAATTGGAACTTTTGAATTGCAAGCATAAGTACAGGACAACGTCTGTCGGGTCATCTAGTTTCCAATAAAAATGATTTCAATCACCTCGTCAACGTTATAGAATTATCGCTTTATTAAAAGAAGTTGTAGTCTGATATTTTCAACTTATAAAATAATTAAATATTAAATTCGATCGTTTCTTGACTTGTATGAAAAGCATTTTGCCTTAAACATGAGATGATAGCTTTGGAAATAATCTTCAACAATTTAAGATGAATTATTCCTAAATTATATAATTAAATAAATCTGAAGATACAATTAAATAGATCTGAAGATTGTACCTTGGGTAATTTTATATAAAAATAAATACATGTAGGCTATATTAATTGCTAATTTTAATTAGTTATACTTTCATTTTGTCATTTTAAATATAATTAATAAATACATACACTTAACATATATTTTCACTAAATATGTACTGATTATATTATATCAAAATGCTTTATTATTCAAATCCCTTCTTAAAATAGGCGTCTGGTGCTTTGGTAAGTGAAACTAAAAGTATTTATTAATTAAAACATAACATTATGTGAAAGGTCACAGAAATATAATTGCTTTTTATTTGATATCTACATTTTCCGGAAAAGGCCTAATATTCGTCTGATGGCCCTTACCTAACCTAAATAACTTTACAGGCCGACAGCTCAAAAGGTCGCTCTCTGTCCCTTTAGCAACGACGACCCCAAAACGTTGCCAAATATGTTTCGTAATTAACCCTGGTACATCGGGACGGGGTTGACATGTGGTAAACGACTCTTTCGTTGAATTCTTAAAACATTTAATGTGTATATTTGAGATGGGTAACTCACTCCGGTACAACTCCTCCCTCGGAGTGAATCCGAGTGGAGTTGTCTCACAGGATTTGTCATATCCGACTTCCCTAAACTGATACTAAATCTGTTAACATGTGCAGATATTTGCTTGAGATTTTTTATTAATACAAAGATTTGGGTCGAAAGAAGTGGTCTTTTTCTCGTCTCACAGCCAGTTTTAGGACTTTCCAGGTGTATAATGTCTCAAAATAGTGCTATTTTATATTCTATGTTTTGTATACGATAATGTTTGTCCGTAAATGAGCTCCTTCAATGGTATACAACCAGCTAAAAATTATTTAGTATTATATTATAACTTTTACACAATTATGATTTTATAATTGTGTAAAAGTAATAGTATGCTAATCAAACTACATGATGTATAATTAATTCTCGAAAATGAAATAATGAAAGAATGTGAGGTATTATTTTGTGAAAAATATTATACACAACAATTATTTCATATATAAGGTTTCCTGCATTATTTTCACATAAAAATAAACATATTCATAAAATTATATATTTTGTCTTCAAAAATAATTACAAAATTGATTTTGATTCCCATGTTTTTTGTCTATTTGAGATTTGTGTGCATATTGAAATGCATAAAATAGTAAATATTATTATAAAATGAACAAACATGTTTGAACTATTTGTAAACTATTTCCAATGTCTTAATAAATCCTTAGATATGTTAACAACACGCTAGAGAACACATTTGTGTCAAGTATTATGTTTCAAAGTTGTCGGAGTTGTGGAGTTGTTAAGTGGATATAACTCCTCTCTCAAGCGGATATGATAAGACCGTATATTAATACGTATTTGGACATACGTATGAACATTAATAAATAATTATAATCAAAACCACTGCACGTAGGCTTAAAATATATTATTATTATGTTTAGTCATGGTTTCGTTAAAATTATCAAAAAACTTTCTTACAGCCGCTAAATACTTTAAAATCTCAACAGAAGATCTGAAGATTCTCTTAATTTATATAGCACGATTTTATATACGAATTCTGAATGTGCAAGAGTATGTAAGAATGTGCAAAAGTGTAAGAGTAAAAATCAGAACCATTAATTTTCTCGAATTTCACCAAATAGTTCATGCACGACATGAACTTCAATGTAAATTATGCTTCTCGGTGAAATTCTCGACCAAACGTACGTTCGAATTTCGCAAAGTGCATTCGCAACGTGATTAATGAATGCATTTACCCGGAACCTTTTCCAAACTTCTCCCTGGTATGAATGCATATGCATAGAATTCCATTCATTTATATTCAGATTTGGTTATAAATAGAAATATATCATCTTGATTCCTCATTTATACTAGATAATGCATATATATACATTGATTAATTTATTTTCTAATTTCAGAATCTCAAGAACCAAATAATGACAACAAACTTATGGGTCGAACAGGTGAGGGTCACCCTAATATTTTTATTCAAACTGATTCGACTTACATATTATTTTTTGCTAATAAATTTTTATAGAGCTTTCGTGCAAAAGTGACAATTTCTACAAAAGTTCCTGAAAGTTACTAAAAGCTTTCCTTGTATTTCGTTTCCCGAGCCCTCTTTTGTGCTGACATAGTGATTGTGATAAATTAAATTATATTATGTTCTTATATCAGGCACCTCTTTTCGCGATGGAAAAACACTTTCACATTCAAATAAGATTATGGGCTTTTAGAAAAGTTTATTGACTTTTGTCGTGAAAAAAATTGTGCGAAAGTTCTTTCTCATTTTTCGTTAATAGTAAGGTGACCATATATTTATAAGTCAAATCCGGGACAGGGAGGGGGTGGTCGTCTTTGAAATAACAAATGCTATTTAAGGATACAATAAAAAACAGTTTTTTATATAATTTTTTTTTAATCTGCGGACTTTTAGTAAGAACTATTCATTATTCGAATATATGCAATACTTTTCTATCTATGATTTTATATTATATATTATATTTTTTCATCTTAAACTTTACGTTTTTAAGTCTTGTATAACATTCTATTTCACTTTCTTTATAATTAATTTGAAAAAAAAAGCACTTGTTCATTTGTTTTCATAATTTTTGATACTTTTCCTATTAATTTTCAAAAAACTTGGACAATCCGGGACAAAACATCTAAATCCAGGACAAATATTACATTTAGAAAAACCCGGGACACAAGGTGAAAATCCGGGAATGTCCCGGCCAAACCGGGGCGTATGGTCACCTTATTAATAGTGATTTTTGTTGAGTTGGCATTATTGAAATTATACCTTATAACTACTGAGTTGATTTTCATTCAGGAATACAGTTTACTTTTATTATCTTCATTTACTCTAGTTTATTCTTATTTATAGATACTTCTATGCACGTTTATCTCTAATAAGAATGAATGTCACCATTAGCTAAAACCATTCCGCTAATTTTACGGCTTAGAAATCTATTCTAATATACTATAAATTAAGCCATTATTTGTGTTTAGCTGCAAAAGTAATATACGATAAGCAATCAATGGTAATTACCTTTATTAGATATAAAATAAATAGTTATTCTTAGTTCTATTTCGGATTAAGATAATATCATTAGTTTATTGGAATTTTTAATGCTTAACATTTTTTATCATTAAATTATTTTATCTTAGAGCTGGTACGATTACAAACTTCGTTGGGAACCGAAGGAGTACGGAGGCGTTCACATGCTCCACGTTCCTTCTGATCATATATGGAGGCCAGATATAGTTCTTTATAATAAGTAAGTCTAAAACTTTCAAAAAATATATTTTAAAACTTGGGGAATGGTATATGGTACTTTGATCACCTAGCCACACATATATTAATAACATACTAGCAAACCGGGCGAACTCCGTTTCACCACTAGATGGTTTCATTTTATGTAACATTTCGTTTGACCATTAAAAGATGAAGAAAAAATTGCCTGCTGTTGAAATTGAATAAAAATTTGCACAATACATGTGATTGATTTGATGGTTTCTAATTGAAATGTTAGGAAACGAATAACTTATTTTTTACTTTTTTGCACAATTTCACAGTGAACACAATGCCGATTTGTCACATAAAATTAACTGAGCAGACAACAATGAGTAGCTGCCAAACAAATGAGTAACAGTCAAACAAAAAATATTAGTTTGTACTATGCTAAGTATCATAGATGATGCTGTACGTGAAAAAAGAAAGTGTTTTTCGCTTTTTTGTTAAAATCTTTCTTCAATTTTCTTTGCTATAAACCTCACGGTTTCCGAGACTTTTCCAACGAATGCAAAATCGTCGAAATCGTTTCGTGCGTTCTGGAGTTAAATCGTCAGGAAGGAAAACCCGACTTATTTTTATATATATAGAAGATTATTACCATTTGTACTTAGCGTGGAACATTCATCCAACAAACTTTACTTATGTCTTTGCTAATAAAGAAATCATTATCTTTATCCCATAAGCTAAATTATAAAAATATTAAAGAAATGAATATGTTCAAATTTCTGAACAGAATTTGAAGGAGTCGCTCAATATTCAAAATTAGATAGTCATAAATTTAAAATATTTTAACACATTTTATTTTTGGATTTAAACTTATATTGAGGGAAGTTAATAAAACCTATACACTGCAAGATTATATAAAAAATGGTTCGTGTTTCCTAATCTTATTAAAATTCGTCCCTATCAAGGAATGCAATATGCTACGGACGTTTCTTAGGGCATTCTGCTGAAGAATGTGGTCCATACATTTTTATTTATTTTTTGTATTCCATAGTCTCTGTGAGAACTATGGCTAACAACACCAAGTGAATTATATATCACTTTAGGGACAAAATAAACGGAAAAACATTTATCTTTCTTGAGGTTCCGTACTTGATGGGATTGTGGTAAATCCTTTTTGGAACTTTAAAGATATTTGTAGAAAATGGACTCTAGCAGTCACCAATTGTAATTAAAAGTATATAAAAATAGAAAAAATATAGTTGTTGGAATTCTAGTAAAATCGACTACCATTATACAGTCAAGAAACTATTATGGCAAGTTCAATTTTTGAGAGTATCGCCGCTATGAAATCGAAATGATAAATATATATATTAGAGATGAGTAACTCACTTCGGAGTTGCCACTCCGATACAACTTCTCCCTCGGAGTGAATCCGAGTGGAGTTGTCTCACAGGATTTGTCATATCCGACTTCCCTAAACTGATACTAAATCTGTTAACATGTGCAGATATTTGCTTGAGATTTTTTACTAATACAAAGGTTTGGGTCGAAAGAAGTGTTTTTTTCTCGTCTCACAGCCAGTTTTAGGACTTTCCAGGTGTATAATGTCTCAAAATAATTTTATTTTGTATTCAATATTCTGTATACGATAATGTTTGTCGGTACATGAGCTCTTTCAATGATATACAACCAGTTAAAGTTATATTATAACTTTTTCACGATTATGATTTTATTACTGTGTAAAAGTAATAGTATGCTAATCAAACTACCTGATGTATAATTAATTCTCGAAAAGGAAATAATAAGAATGTGAGGTATTATTATTTTGTGAAAAATATTATACACAAAGATTTTTTCTTATTTCATATATAAGGTTTACTGCATTATTTTCATATAAAAAACATATTCAAAGAATTCTATATTTTCACTTCGAAAACAGTTACAAAATTGATTTTGATTTCCAAGTTTTTGTCAATTTGAGATTTGTATGCATATTGAAATACATAAAATAGTAATTATTATAATAATATGAACAAACATGATAGAACTATTTGTAAACTATTTCCAGTCCTAATAAATCCTTAGATATGTTAACAACACACTAGAGAACACATTTGTGTCAAGTATTATGTTACAAAGTTGTCGGAGTTGTGGAGTTGGTAAGTGGATATAACTCATCTCTGAAGAGGAGTCAAATCCTAACCGATCCGGCTTCGGATATGATAAGCCCATCTCTAATACATATGTATATTGCACAGGTTAGTGAAATCCCTGCCGGCGTGAGTTTTTCCGCGTCGTTTTTGGTTTTGCGGCACCGTGGCGGCCCCGTGGCGGCAAAATGCGCATTATAATTCTGTTATCCGGTTGTGCGCAATGCTACCCGATACAGTTTCCTGTACGCCGTGGGGCATGTAACCGGAAGCTTTCTTCCCATTTAACATGATGGAAATTCACACAGGAAACCTTCATTCATAAATTATGCTCGAATTGTACTTGTGTAACACTAATATTAGGGCTATGTTAGCCAGATTTTAACCCTTTTATATTTGTCAAAACATTGCAACAAAATAATATTGATTGCATATGAGTTCAGAAAGAATTAAAATTTGTAGTGAATTTAAAACTAACCAATCATCAGACGATATCATGAATGTACAATGTTGAAGTAAAAGTTCTTTAGGCGCGACTAGGTTGTAAATCCGTACAAATGCAACGAAAGTGCGTTACGGCAGATAAGATAAGAGTCGAGTGCCAAAGATTTGCCATTCGCTCTCAATGATATTTCTATAAGGGTCGATTGTGATTAGTCGTCGCGTATGTGAATAGAGATCTGTCGTTGTATGCGTACCGATATCAACAAGGAAATCGGCATAGATAAATAAACATTTTAAATTTACATCGTAGTACAAATCTTGATTTATTGAAGAATGCCTGAAACAGAAGAATATTTTACCCGGTCCCCCGTAAATAATTGTATTGAAAATAATAAAACAAATGCAGCATTTGCGTCATGTATGAAACAAATTTATTGAAATAGTTTCTATATTATTCGTAGTTTCTATAAATCTTTGAAGTTATTGAAATGGAAAATATTTTTTAGGCGAAACAGATATTACGGCCGTTCAAAGAATAAGATTATATCGCCACGAAAAAGAATACCGTCAGTCAATGAATGTATGTTAATTTTAATTACATGAAGTTCTTCAAACATAATTATTACATGATGAGTGAAGTTGCGAAAACAATATTTGTTTAGGGGTTGTTTAACATAATCCACTGTGTAAACGAATATTATAGAAGTTATTAATCAGCAATTCCTTCATTTCTCTAATGAAGGTTCATTTCTAAATGCTAATTACAATAACAAACCGATCATGTCATATTTGAAGTATGATTTTAATTACATTATTGTTTTGAAATATTATACATATTTTTAATGCTTTTATAAATATATAATTTATAATTTATCATTATATAAATGTGTATAATGGTTAATAAATATGTGCACGAGTGTTACCATATTACCAATAAACATTATTCAAAATTGTTATATTATGTATTTATTTTTACTTAAATGCCATATTGTACAGTACAAATAAGTTTTACTTCAATCGCGTGTGAACCTTACGCGCACTCTTTTTTATGCTTTTTCTTAAAATATGGCCTGCGAAAGTTTCTTAACGACATCGAGTCATCTTTTCCCACGCGTGTTGCCAAACTTTTCTCTTTGGCAGTAAAAAACTTTATTATATTTGTCTCTGTGAATTTTGTATGTTGTCATAAAGAAGATCGGGAGGAAAAACCATCTGCTATATATACTCCGCCAATTACCTATCGGGAATTGGTGTCTTCTCGTTTGAATTTATGACCACGACGAGCGAAGATACTAAGAGTCGATGGGGAATAAAATTGAGGACTGCCTGTCTATTATCTGTTAGTCTAAATAAATAAAAAGGCGTATATAAAAGTTAAAAATTAACAAATATAATATAATTATTCATATTGTTGTATATTTAAATATATACAGATTAGAATTTTGACATAATTTCTCACAGAAGGCATAAAATGTGATGCTTTTCGTAGTGTTCTTTCAATGTAGGTTTTTACTTTTATGTTATATTATTTATTTGGTAAATTATAATACAAACATGAAATCATCTTCGAAACTAATATTCTTTTAATCCGATCGCCACTTTTGTCTGACCTGTATTTGTTACCATCGTCTTTCATCCACAACTTTCAGTTTGAAATTTAAATTGGTTCAAATATATATGGTATATTGTTTTGGTTACTTTCTCTCCTCTATATGGGTATCAAATGAAATTTAGGAAAGGTGGCACAAAAAGTGAGACTTTTAATCGACTTTTGAAGCTTGTGCTTTTGTTTCTACGATGGATCTCATGAAGTTTAAGAAATTATATAAAGGACAAAATTTATACTGATACAATAAATAAACATAATAGAACTATTACAGAAATCATTGATAAAGGAATAAGTGATAAGATATTTAAAATAAAATGATAAAGAACTAAACCTCTGTTGTGCCCCATCCAACGACGGTGCCAACAATATGTAGGTTCTTCCTGCTGCTAAGCATCAAGCTGGTATCAGACTGTGAAGGCGAATCAGTAAAACAGATGAAGACTCTTGATGTTTATGTTTATTTCATGATTGTTGTACACTTTGTATATAACATGAACACTGAACTTGAATATAACTCCATTGATTACTAAATACTACTAACTCATATTAATCTGAACATAATGATAACTTAATGACGACTGAACTATATTGACTGAAATATGAACTAATAATGAACAACGATTTCATCATCTTGTATTTTATATTCCTTATCGGGATTACGTAGTCCTTTTCTAGAATGCTCGTTCCAACTTGTTCAAATTCGTTACATGTGAGTCAGAAACTACGCATTTCTTATTCGTTAAGGTGCAGTTTGTGGTTTTGCCTTGCAAAAGTCCGTTATTCCTAAACACGTATTGTTTTTTCTCGAGCATACAATGTAACAGCATGCAATGC